AAACGTACACATTCATGTAACGTCGTTGATGCCTTTAGGATATTTTACAAGTGAGAAATAATAAGTCTTGACGTCTGATTAGATATTCACAGGCCTGTTTGGAGATACTAGCTCCGTTTCTTGAGTTTTGACTAAAGTGATGAAGTAAAGTGGAAATCCAAAGTGTCCTTACTAGTTACAAGGACACTGAACTTGATGTAGAACTGAAGTGTGAGTTCATTCATTGGTTAAGTCACTTATCTTGTACACAGTCTGTTTTCACGAAGTTAGAAATGTACCAGAATTTAATGAATGTAAATATTGTGTATTCTAATTCAAACGCTCCCCCCCCATCAGTGCAACAGCGATATGTCTGCGGATTTACAACGATAGAAACCGGGTTTCGATACCCGTGGTCGGCAGAGCACACATAGCCCATTGTATAGCTTTATGCTTAACTACAAACAAACAAACAAATCTATTTCAAACATGCCATAAGAAAATCATATATTTACATCCTGGTAAACAAGATGATTATATAGGTCTTTAATCATCGCGTGAATCATTCGATATTACTTTATCTAAGAATAAGATTGCCATAAGGTATTTACAATAACGTTAATATGATTTTAATATAAGGCTTATTAGAATAGTATACTGCTCTTTTGTTATTTTTCTAATGCTACCGGGCTTAATTTTTTTTTAATAATGGGATTTCAATAAGTACAGTCTTAACCAAAGTGTTTGTATATTCTGGAACAAATAAGTTCATTATCATTAATATGGAATACAAATACACGTAACGCTGTCAAACAGAGAAACGAATGTTATATTAAACATCTACACATCTAATCTATATAATGAGACCGGTTTTACAGACATCATGAACACTTTTTTCAGACACCTGAAGAAAGGTGCGTAGTTCATCATTTCACCTATCACAACACAACCTTACTAAAACATATATAATGACAAAATATAACACAAATTTATTATAAATAGAGTCTGTAACCCTATATCAGTTCATATTAAGTATTCAGTACTTTGTTGGTCCTCTTCGTAATCTAAAAACCTCCGCAAGGCGACTTGGCATACTGTCGATGAGGTTATTGACGTAATCCACTGTAATTTCATCCTAACTTGTCACTAGAAGGCGCTGTAACGCAGATACAATAGCTGGTTTAAGGTCGTAGTTAGCAATTTTCCGGTCCAATTCTGCCCAACAGCTCTCAATGCATTTACAATCTGGAAACTTTGCTGGCCAATGCAACCTTGTAACGTCCTCCTGGTCTAGATATTCCCGTACAATACGCACACTGTGAGCAGTAGCATTGTCATCTTGGAACACAAAGTTATTGCCAAATTTAGCCATAGCATATGACAGAAATATCTTCTCCATATGATGCCTGTAGGAGGCACTATTGAAGTTTCCCTGGAGAATATGAAGAACATATATGAATAGCTGCCCAAATATGTAGTGCACCTCCTCCTGCGTGTTCTCTGTCAGAAAGACATTCTTGCTTCATCTATTATCCATCCAAACGACGAACAAGATTCTTGCCATTAGCTTTAGCAAGTCCGAAACAGGACTCATTTGAAAAGATGACATGTCACCAGCGTGCTAACTGTAAGTTGGCACGCTGTCTTGCCCTAGTAACACAGTGATGGGGTGAATCCTGGTTGTTATCGGGTTGCAGATAGCCCGCCTTTAAAGTAACCTTATTTGTTCAGTCTCCTATTCACTGTTCTTCTGGATATTCTGGAATGAATGTGTTCATGCTATTCGTTTCGTAAGGTGTTACAAGACTTCTTTCGACCTTGACGTGTTAACCTGATCAAAACACGGTAATTTTGGGCAGTAGTTTTTGGCGTTTACCAGTAGACTTTCCTGGAACATGGTTTTCTGTAGTCCGATAACATTTCAGGATTTTGGATACAGTACGCTGGGGTACCCTACTGTTCTGACAATGTCCGTTTGCTTCATACCATTTCTGGACCGTCAAACAATTTAATGTCTTATAACTTCTTTCACGTGACGAAGCATGACTCTACACCAAGTACAGAGAAATTGTCTGAACAAAGCATTGATTTGTTTCGAAA